GAGATGAGTGATACAAGATTGGTTGTTACATACCTGTGAAGTTGCTGCGCAGACCCACGAAGGAGGAAGAAAGCGGCCATAGCCGCGGAGCTGCATCATGGTGTGACGAAGGGGACAGAGAAGGAGGGACCAAGGAGAGAGAGAGAGGAAGGGGTATTGGAGAAGAAGATAGATATAGCCGGGGTGACAAAAAAAAAAAAAAAAAAAAAATATAGAGAGAAGAAGAAAGATAGCGAGGAAGAAGAAGGTAAAGGAAGGGGAAGGAAGAGACGAAGGCGACGAAGGTGAAGGTGCCGGCAGCCATAGCCAAGTTGGAGGGTTCACCAGACGCTGACCAGAGGGTTGACCAGACGTTGACCAGTGGGTTGACCAGGTGTTGACCGGAGGGTTGACTGGGGGTTGACCAGAGGGTTGACCGAGCATTGACCCAGCGTTGACCAAGGCGTTGACCGGAGCTGCTGACCAAGGTTTTGACCAAGCTGGAGTTGGTGATATTTCGCTGAGCCCTTAGCCTATCCCCTTACCCTGTGGATGTGCAGTCACCCTACAGTACTTGCTGAGTCTGAGTCTGTCTGTCTCTTCTTTCTGCATTGAGTCTCTTCTGTCCTAGGTGCTAGCACTCTGTGGATGAAGGATAGGCTTGGATGATGAAACCCTGAGCTGACCTTATAGGGCTGATACTGTGGCTGATCCAACTTTCCAGGGGGGGCTAACCCTCCCAAGGACCGGTGCTGACCGGTTGGAAACGGTTGGTAGGACTCAGTGGGTTTGAACGGCAGCCAGGGCTGACACACCAGGCAGTCTTTAAGTGTTGAGGGCCTGTTTGAACCACCCCCCTACCGGACCAAGTAAGACTGATGATCTGTGTCTGACGACTCGACTGTCCCGGGGGACACGAACCCCTCCAAGGACCGGTACAGACCGGCGGGCTGCTCGGTGTGGCACAGTAAGCCCCAAAGGCTGAGTTGTGGGTTGAAAGCACAGGCAGGAACCAAGCTGATCACGTCGTCCTGTCTGGGACGTTAAAGAATTATTGCAGAGTTTGGGGGATCTCCTTAAATGCCTCCAGATCAGCTGTTGGTTCAGTGGTGACAGCCCTAGAGTAGGTCTAGGCTAGTGACCATAGTTGACAGGGTTTCACCCTGTGGTCCTTAGAAAGTCAGTTAGTCAGCGGGTCAGTGTCCGGGTAGGTCTACGTGGTGAGGAGTGGGGCTTTTGTCGTGCACCTGACACCACCATGGATGACTATCCGATATATGGGTTACTTGTGGGGTTCTCCCTCTGGGGGACCCTTTGGCGCCTCCTCTTTCCTCTGGACTTCTGGCCCACTTTCACGTGTAGAGTAGGAACCCGGGGTGGCACTTCCACCCAGCCTTACACGAAGGAGGGGGAGGAGAATATGGCCGCCATCCTGCAGGAGAGAAAGGAGAAGAAGGAGGCCAAGAAGAAGGCCCTGCAGGAGGAGCAGGCGGCAAAGTTGAAGAAGATAGAGGAGGAGATGGCTAGAGAAAAGGAGAGGTTGAAAAAGGAAGAAGAGGAGAGGTTGAAAGAGATGGAAGAGGAAGAAGAAGATGAAACGCCACTGCAAAGGAGGAAGGGGCAGCACAGTGGCAACAAGGATGAAGAGATGGAGAAACGGATTTCAGAGTGGGTCACCAACTTATCCCTGGGCGAAGAAGAAGAGGTAACTATGTACATCCCCAAGGATGAGCAAGAAGCCGCTATGAAGAAATAGGAAGCAGAAGAAGATGTTCTGAAGCGGCAGGCGATGGAAGATGAAACGAGGATGGAGTGGAAACTCGCAATGACGAGGGAGAAGAAGAGAAGAGTGGAGGCGGCGAGTGCAGCAATGCAGGAATTGGCGGTGGTACGGACTTTAACTACTCAGTTGACCACCCAGGTAGACCTCCAACAAAAGGTACAGATCATCGCCTAGAGCGTCGAGCGTTTAGCCAGAGTGCAAGAACAACAATATGAGTTTAGCCGAAGCCAGGATATAGTTGTGCGTTCGATGCGGATGGGCTTTCGGGACTTTGCTCGCGAATTGGTAGGGGCTGTAGGAGCCGAGGTGAATCATCGCCTCAAGAAGACTGAGCGTTTTTGTGTTGGCGCCATTGAAGGCGTCAAGGTGGCAGCTCCCAAGGAGGAAGAGCCGCGCCCTCGTAGGGAGCCAGTCAAAGTTGAATTCCCTGATTCCTACAGTGGGAAAAGGGAAGAAAACTTTGACAACTGGGAGGCCAACGTCAAGACCTACGTGCATCTGCAACAGGTCTCCCCAGATCAGCACGTATTAATTGCCATTCATGCGCTTAGAGATGAGGCCGCCAGTTTTGCAAGGTCCCTAGTCCGCGCTGCCAACTGCAATAATGATGCAGTGGCCTATTCATCGTTCACCCCCCTCGTTGATTTCATGAAATTGCTGCGCGAGCGATTTGCTGATGTCGCTCGCAGTGTCAAGGCCTCAGATAAGCTCCAGACCATCCACACTCGTAAATGGAAGAGTGCCAGTGTACTCAAGGGTACGATGGATGAATTGGTGGTTGTCCCTGACCATGGGGTCACAGAGGCCCAATTGGTCGGCCTCTTCTATCGGGCTATGCCCGAAGCCTTTCGAGGGCAGTTCTTCGCGACGAGCGAAGATCCTGCCACCACTTATGATTCCCTTAGCCGTGAAGTGGTGGCTTTCGAGGCGAAATCGGTGTCACTTTCTACCTTCTGGCACAAAGACCTCGACAAAGGAAAGCAATGGAAGGGCCGCACTATCTCAGGGCAAGTAAAGACCAAGGATAGCCTTGTCCTTACCTTAGATGAAAAAAGTGTGGACGAGATCCCCTACGAGCAGATTGAGTGGGGGTTCGAGGAGGAGGATAACGGTGCGAGCCAGGGGAGGACTTACACTGCTGTCGTGGCTGGAGGGAGGCCGCAAGGAGGAGGAAGAGGCCAGGGCCAAGGGGGCCGGGCCTCAGGGAGCCGGTTTCAGGGCGATCAGGGGGTTGGCGGTAGAGGAGGAAACCGCCAAGCGGAGGAAGGGGTCAAGGTCCCCCGCAAAACCGTCCCATGAACAGGTCTCCCTATAGGGTAGGTGGATGGCACCCAGGGCTACCCCAAGGTAGGCCTTGGGAGAGTTTGGGTCTGGACCAGGGCTTATGGCAACAACGATTGGACCGGGGCCAGTGCATTTTCGGCGGTGACCTGGGCCATATCATCAAATACTGTCCTAAGTATAGAGAGACCCAGACGGGTGCTCAAGGGCCAAAAGGCAGCCGCCGGTAGGGGTAGCAACTGCCCCTACCACAAGGCCATGTGGGGAAAACAGCGCTAGCCAGCAGGAGACTCCCACACCACATGTGCCTATGGCAGAGGTTGCAGGCCGGTGTCTAGATCGTTGTCCAGAGACTGCTTGTGTTAGAGTCTCTCTAAACACCTCCCTCACAGGCATGGCCGAGGAATTGAAGGAGAGGATGCCCGCCTGGGCCAAGATAAAGAAAGAACAGAAAGGACAACTAATATTGGTAGATGTAGAGATTTTTAGAAGTAGAGCACGGGCCCTAGTGGATTCAGGGGCTACCCGCAACTAGATTAGCAGAAAAGCGCTGCAGAAATTGAAGCTGGGACTTAAAGTGCAAAAGCTAGCAGACCCTATAGTTAGTATCCTCGCAGACAATCGTACCATGGTTGTAGAGGATTACGTHGAGGGAGTCCAGGCGTATTTTCGCCTAGAGAAGGATAGGAAGGTGGAAAAGGTTCTCCACTCCCTAACTCTCCTCGTAGAAGACAGCCTCCCATTCAATATCGTTCTGGGGATGGATTGGGGAGAGGCAGCCAGGGCCACACTCCATTTGAAGGAGCACGAGTGTAGGCTCCCTAGTCCTTTAGGCGAGGCTAAGACTGCCCGCCTGTTCCATGTGTCCGGAGTAGAGAATCCCCTAGCACATTGCTGCCTTAGTGCCCCTGCATTCGCAAGGCTCGTGAAGAAGGAGCGCTTAGAAGAACAAGTTTTTGTAGCCTACGTAAGGCCAGTAACTGAGCCTAAGGAAGAGAAGCCTATAGACCCTACAATTGCCAAGCTGCTGGAGGAGTTCAAGGACCTAGCTGAGCCGCCGACAGGAGTAGTATCGCGGCCTATCCAGCACCGCATTGAGATTGAGCCTGGCAGTAGAACTCCCAAAGGAGCCGTGTATAGGATGTCCCCGCGGGAGTTAGAGGAGCTTCGTAAGCAATTAGACGAGCTCCTTGAGAAGGGTTGGATTAGGCCCAGTTCATCTCCTTTTGGAGCACCTGTTCTCTTTGTCCCCAAGAAAGAGGGAGAGTTGAGGATGTGTATAGACTATAGGGGTTTGAATGCTGTTACAGTGAAGAATGCTGAGCCACTGCCTAGGATAGACAATCTTCTGGATGGAGTGCAGGGGGCAAAGTATTTCTCCAAAATAGATTTGAAGTCCGGATATCATGAGATAGAGGTGCATCCTGATGATCAGTATAAGACAACTTTCCGGACTAGATATGGGCACTATGAGTTTATAGTGATGCCCTTTGGACTAACCAATGCGCCAGCTACGTTCCAGCGCTGTATGAATGATTTGTTTAGGCCATGGTTAGATAAATTTGTTGTTGTCTACTTAGATGATATCTTAGTGTTTAGTAAGACCCTCCAAGAACATTAGGGTCATCTCAGGCAGGTCTTGGAGAAGCTGAGGGAAGCTAACTTCAAGATCAATGTAAAGAAGTGCGATTGGGCGAAGACCCAAGTCTCATATCTAGGCCACGTCTTAGACGGAGACAGCATCAAGCCAGAAGATTGTAAAATCGCAACGATTAGAGATTGGCCCACACCGCGCACGCTGACCGAGTTGCGGTCGTTTTTGGGCTTAGCTAACTACTATAGGAAGTTCGTGAGGAACTTCTCCACCATCGCTGCGCCCCTTCGCAGATTGCAAAGAAAGGAGACCATCTGGAAGTGGGATAAGGACTGCACATCTATTATGAAGAATTTGAAGCAGGCACTAATAGAATATCCAGTCCTTAAGGTAGCCGATCCGTCCTTGCCCTTTGTCGTCACTACGGATGCTAGCCAGTACGGCATAGGTGCGGTGTTGCAGCAAGACGATGACAATGGTTATAGACGCGTAGAGTTCATGTCCGCTAGTATGCCTTCAGAGAAGGTTGCAACATCTACCTATGAGAGGGAACTCTACGCTCTCAGGCAAGCATTAGAACACTGGAAGCATTACTTGCTTGGGAGACACTTCAAAGTCTATTCTGACCACGAGACATTGCGATGGTTAAAGACGCAGGCCAAGATGACACCTAAGCTTACTAGGTGGGCTGCGGAGATAGACCAGTACGACTTCGAGCTCAAGCCAATCAAAGGGAAGTATAACGTAGTTGCGGACGCTCTGAGTAGAAGAGCTGATTACTTTGGGGCCATAGTCCATTACCTAGATATAGGGTCAGACCTACAACAGAAAGTTAAAGAGGCGTACGCGCAGGACCCCATCTATAGTGAGCTCCTTAAGAGAGTTAAGGAAGCCCCAAAGTCCGAGCCATACTACCGCACTACTGATGGGTTGTTGTTTGAGAAGACTAATGTAGCAGACCGTTTGTGCATCCCCAACAGTGAAGAGATCCGGAGTCTGATCTTGGGGGAATGTCACGACACCGAACATGATGCACGCGTACACTTGGCCAGGAACGAAAAATGACTGCATTGAATATTTTCGCAGTTGCAAAGTCTGCCAGAGGAATAAGTCAACTACGCGTGCCCCTTTAGGTCTTCTCAAACCTTTACCTATCCCTGATCAGCTGGGTGATTCAGTGTTCATTGACTTTATGGACACCGGCGTTAAGAGTAGGCATGGCAAGAGCCAAGTTATGGTCGTAGTAGACAAATTTAGTAAGTATGCTATTTTTGTTCCCTTGCCGTCAGAAACCAGAACATAATTAGTAATTCAGAAGTTCTTTGATCACTGGGTCAGTGAACATGGGGTTCCGCTGTCTATAGTTAGCGATAGAGATACCCGGTTCACAAGTCTAAACTGGCAGGAATTGATGCGAGTCTACGGATCCAAGTTGTTGATGTCATCTGGCCGTCATCCAGATACGAATGGTCAGACTGAACAAATGAACAAGATCCTGCAGCAAGTCCTGCGCATGTACATTAGACCTAATCAAGTCAATTGGGATGAGATGTTGCCCAAGGTAGCCAGCGCATACAACAACAGCCTGCACCTGGCAACCTGTCGCACTCCCAACGAGCTCCATAAGTCCTTTAGACCACGAAGACCATTTGAGGGACTTAACCGGGATCAGATCCACAGGATACCGCCCGGTACAAGGGAGTTTGCGATTCAACACGAGAAGGAGAAAGCAACTGTTGTTGAGAATCTCAGGAAGGCCCAGCACCGTATGATTGAACAGGCAAACAAGCACCATCGCCCTTCACAGTTCCAAATAGGCGACTTGGTCTGGGTCCAGTCTAAAGAGTTTGCGCCTGAGGAGAACATTTCGCAGAAGTTACTGCCTACGTATAGAGGACCGTGGCCAGTTCTGGAAGTCAAGGGCGGCGAAGATGGACCGTCCTATACCATAGAAATCCCAGCACACCTCCACACTTACCCAGTTTTCCATGCATCGAAGTTGTTACCTTGTCAAACAAGTGATCAGTTTCCATCCCGTAGGTCTATGATTCCACCAGATATGGATGGAAGGTATGACATCGATGGCATAGTGGCTGAAGATGTATTCAGGACTTGAGGTAGAGGTCGTCTACGGAAACAGTACAAGGTTCATTTTGCTTATCAAGAACCGGAAGACGACCGCTGGTTTACGAGATTTGAAATTCTAGAGACAGCTCCCAATATAGTCCGGGCCTACGAGAGGCAACAGAAAGGTAAAGGTCCTGCCTTGGACTGAAATTTTCTCGGAGGACCTCGAATTTAGGCCGGCAAGAGTGAAACGGTATTCACCACTTCGCAGTAGCTGATGCAGATTCCAAGGCTCGATCCCCAGTTCCCCGCCTCACCTCTGTACAGTAACTGTGTCAACCCGTAGATTTGAACCTGCGACCTGTAGGACCGCCAGTGGTAGGTAAGATCTCGTAGGTTACAGGGTAGAAGGGATTCGAACTGTAGACCTGTCGGGTAGAAGTCTAGGAGTCTAGAGGTCTTAGCTGTAGACTGTCCGAAGGGTCAAAGTCGTAGCTGCTACTTACCTGAAAGGGCAAAGTCGTAGCTGCTACAGTCCCGAAAGGGCAAAGTAGAGGTTTCTAGAAGTGGCCTTTCGGAGTCAGCCCCTGTTTCAGTAGAGGCAAGTGGTCAAGTGGTGTAGGTCCACCACGCTGAGTCAACAGTCCCAATCCAGTTAGTCCGGTTCTGTCGAGCAAGTACCATCTGGGACTGTGTGCACCAGGGGGCCAGGGTTACAGAGCAGACCAATGCATCCCAGAAGTATAAATCAAGAGGTCGAGCCCAACCATTCATTCATTCCTGCGGAAGCCATGCGGAAGCGCTGCCTCGGCGTCTTGTGCAAGGAGGTCTGCAGTGTGCCCGAAGTTGAAGTGGGCAGAGAAGTGTAGAATAGCGATAGGGAAGTGGCAGCTAGCGCTGCCATAGCTATAGTAGTGTGTGTGTGTGCATGATGTGAGGGTGCAGAGTGTCGAGTGTGGGATATCCAGGGTGATCCAGGGTGTGAACAATGAATGTTGGGCGCTCAGTCGCCATAGTCAGTGAGAGTGAACTTACCAGAAAGCCATATCTCTGTGTACTGTGTGACCGCATGTCGCCAGTTTGTCTGCTGCTGTTCACGTGCATGAAAAGTGTGAATAAGTTGAGTCTGATTGCAAAGAAGAAAATGGGAGAAAATGCAAAAGAGAAATGACCGGTTTTCTTTTGGACCATGGATCTGAGATCAGATCTCATGGTGAAGAGGAACTAGATGTTTTTTGTGGGCCAGCTCAAAACGGCTAGCTCCGGAATGAGGTGGCAGCCCAAAATGAAAAAAACAAAAGAGGGAAAGGGACAAAACTGTGCATTTGGCCCAGAAAGAGAGCCAAATGCACCAAAAATTTAAAAAGTGGATTTAGGGGCTCAAAATTGAAGCAAGGGCTACTTGGGGGTGACACGAAATATTGTTGGCCTTGGATCTCAACCAGATCCAAGGCTGAAAATGTGCCGCTGCATGGAAAAATATCTCGGCCTACCCAAAATGAGGTACAAACTGAAAAATCGAGAAAAAGGTCCACTAGGCCTTTTTCTCTCAATTAAAGTTGCCCCTTGGGCATTAGGACCCAAGGGGGCAACATTTTTGAGGTGAAAAGGAGACCGAAGTAGGCCAAGAGGCAATCCGAGTTGGTACCAACCACCCGGACTGCATGTACTTGGCCAAAAAGAGGCCCAGGTACCTCCGGAAGGGCCTAGTGGTAGAATTTTGCCTTGGGGGTACCTCGGTTCACCTCAAGGCACATGGGAAGGCCTATGGCCTGCCCAGACTGCTGGTTTCAGCCTACATAAGCTGGGAATTCAGTCCGCCACTTTCACAATTGCATGAGGAGTGTCCATGCTGCCCAAGTGAGCTCATAGGAACACTCTTTCACTTGGAGAGAGGAGAGGGGAACCCATGCCAGTTTAGGAGTTTGGTGGAGGCCATGAGCTAGGGAGAGGAGCTCTAGAGATTAGTGGTAGTGAGGCTGGCCCTAGGGAGGGGATCCGCCATAGCCCCCTGGGTGTGAGGAAGAGAGAGAGGCTAAAGGGAGTCCCATTTGCCCTCCTAGAGGGGTGAACTCCATAGCTATCGTGATTGGAGCTTGTGGTAACTTGGGAGGGAGGGAGTGAGAGAGGAAGGAGAGAGGCTTGAAGAAGAAGGAGGCCATAGCCAAGAAGGTGTTTTGTGCAAGGAGGAAGAAGCCTCATCAAGATTGAGACTCCATCTCCAAGACATTAACAAGGTGAGTGGAAGGAAGAGGATGCTTCTTCTTCTTTTTCTTCTTCCTCTCCTTCTACTTCTCCTTCTTCTTCTTCTTCTTCTCCTTTTTCCTCCTCCTCTTCTTCTTCTTCTCCTTCTTCTTCTTCTTCTTCTTCTCCTTCTCCTTCTTCTTCCTCTTCTTCCTCCTCCTCTTCTTCTTCTTCTTCCTCTTCCTCTTCTTCTTCTTCTTCTTCTTCTTCTTCTTAATCTTCTTCTTCCTATTGGGCTACTCAAACTCTTGTTTTTCACTCACACACGAGTAGGTAGTGCTTCGATTCTTTTCATGGATGATCTCATGCTCAATACTTGTGATTTGGCCTAGTGTAGATCTTGCTTCTCACTCACATACTAGTAGGAGATCCTTCGATTCTTCTATGGATGATCTCTTACTCAAATGTTGTGAGATAGCCTAGTGTAACTCTTGCATTACACTCACATGCTAGTGGGAGATCCTCCAATTCTTCCATGGATGATCACTTACTCAAATCTTGTGAGATAGCCTAGTGTAACTCTTGCATTTCACTCACACACTAGTAGGTGATGCTCCGATTCTTCTATGGATGATCTCATGCTCAACACTTGTGACTTGAGCTACTCAAACTCTTGTTTTTCACTCACACACTAGTAGGTAGTGCTCCGATTCTTTCATGGATGATCTCATGCTCAACACTTGTGATTTGGGCTATTCAAAGTGTTGTTTTTCACTCGCACACTAGTACGTAGTGCTCCGATTCTTTCATGGATGATCTCAAGCCCAATACTTGTGATTTGGCCTAGTGTAGATCTTGCTTCTCATTCACATACTAGTAGGAGATCCTTCGATTCTTCCATGGATGATCTCTTACTCAAATCTTGTGAGATAGCCTAGTGTAACTCTTGTATTTCACTCACACACTAGTAGGACATGCTCCGATTCTTCTATGGATGATCTCATGTTCAATTCTTGTGATTTGGCCTAGTGTAACTCTTGCATTTCACTCACACACTAGTAGGTGATGCTCCGATTCGTCTATGGATAATCTCATGCTCAACACTTGTGATTTGGGTTACTCAAACTCTTGTTTTTCACTCACACACTAGTAGGTAGTGCTCCAATTCTTTCATAGATGATCTCATGCTCAATACTTGGGATTTGGCCTAGTGTAGATCTTGCCTTTCACTCACATGCTAGTGGGAGATCCTCCGATTCTTCCATGGATGATCTCTTGCCCAAATCTTGTAAGATAGCCTAGTGTAACTCTTGAATTTCACTCACACACTAGTAGGAGATGCTCCGATTCTCCTATATATGATCTCATGTTCAATCCGTGTGATTTGGCCTAGTGTAGCTACGCATTTCACTCACACACTAGTAGGTGATGCTCCGATTCTTCTATGAATGATCTCATGCTCAACACTTGTGATTTGGGCTACTCAAACTCTTGCATTTCACTCACACACTAGTAGGACATGCTCCGATTCTTCTATGGATGATCTCATGTACACTTCTTGTGATTTGGTCTAATGTAACTCTTGCATTTCACTCACTCACTAGTAGGTGATGCTCTGATTCTTCTATGAATGATCTCATGTTTAACACTTGTGATTTGGTTTACTCAAACTCTTGTTTTTCACTCACACATGCTAGTAGGAGAGACTCCGATTCTTCCGTGGATGATCTCTTGCTCTAATCTTGTGGTATAGCCTAGTGCAGATCTTGCTTGTCACTCACATGCTAGTAGGAGATGCTCCGATTCTTTCATGAATGATCTTATGCTCATTACTTGTGATTTAGTCTTAGTGTAGATCTCACTTTTCACTCACATGCTAGTAGGAGATGCTCCGATTGTTTCATGGATGATCCCTTGCTCAAATCTTATGATATAGCCTAGTGTAACTCTTGTTTTTCACTCACTGACTAGTAGGTAGTGCTCCGATTCTTCTATGGATGGTCTCATGTTCAAATCTTGTGATATAGCCTAGTGTAACTCTTGCTTTTCACACATATGCTGGTAGGAGATGCTCCGATTCTTCTATGGCTGATCTCATGATCAATCCTTGTGATTTGGGTTACTTCAACTCTTGCCTTTCACTCCCGGGCTAGTGGGTGATGCTTCGATTCTTCTATGGATGAGCTCATGCTCAATACTTGTGACTTGGTTTAATGTAAGTCTTGATTCTCACCCATATGCTAGTAGGAAATAATCCGACTTATCCATGAGTGATTTCGTGCTCAAGACTCGTGTTT